TTGGGGGAAGGTATCCACACTTGAGCATAGGCTAGTGATCCTGGGTGACCTCAATCGACTTGCAAGAGGGGCAGATGTAAACCTGATGGTATTCAATACAGAGAAATGTAGGTGCTTCACCTCGGGGGGAGGGAAGGAAACCCGCATCACACTTATAGGCTCAGCAGTGCTACACTTGCTAGCACCATGGCTGAAAGAGACTTGGGGTTCATGAATTACCACAAGATAAACATGAGCCACCAATGTGATACTGCAGCTTGCAAAGCAAACAAAACTCTGTCTTGCATCTACCAGTGCTTCTCAAGCAAGACCCAGGATGTCATCCTCCCGCTGTACTCGGCCTTGGTGAGGCCGCAGCTGGAGTACTACATCCAGTTCTGAGCTCCACAATTCAGAAAGGATGTGGAGAAGCTTGAGAGAGTCCAGAGGAGAGTCACATGCATGATCAAAGGGCAAGAGAGCAGGCCTTATGAAGAGAGGCTGAGAGCCATGAGACCCGTCAGCCTGGAGACGCAAGGCTTAGGGGTGACTTGGTGGCATCTTATAAGTATATAAAGGGTGTGCATCAGGATCTGGGAGAATGCCTGTTCACCAGAGCACCCCAAGGAATAACAAGGTCCAGGGGTCACAAACTCTTGCAAGACCATTTTAGGCTGGACATAAGGAAAAACTTTTTTACTGTCCAATCCCCAAAGGCCTGGAATAGAGTCCCCCAAGAGGTGGTACAAGCACCTACTCTGGACACTTTTAAGAAACAGTTGGATGCTTATCTTGCTGGGATCCTTTGATCCTAGCTGACTTCCTACACCTTGAGAAAGGGGCTGACCTGATGATCTTATGAGGTTCCCTAATGTCTATGAAATCTATATGCTGGTAGAAAGTAAGTTTCTCCCAGTTTAGCTAAACCTTCTCGCCAGGTGACACAGCTAAACCAATATAAATACGCTTCTGTTGGCATAGTTACATTGGTGGTAAGGGTTTTGCCAGCACAGCTAGGCAGGCAAAGTTCTGTGATGCAGACCACATCTGATAATATATATAGCACAGGTGGGAAATTATTTGGGCCCATGAGCCACATAGGCAGTTTTCTGGTACTGCTGAGGGCTGGTCAGTGCCCCCTCTCTGCCCCACAACAGCTCAGAGCCCATGCATCCTGCAGCTCCTCCCTGCCACCACCACCAGTGCTGAACAGCAGCTGAGCACACAACCCTGGCACACCCTGCACTGGCTCTGAACTCACCCTGGCTAGAGCAAACTAGCTTTAGACTAGCCAAAACTGATGCACTCAGCTCTGATCCTGGCCTGCCCCACACCTGCTCTGGACTAAGCAGAGGCAGCAGGGTAGAAGTTGCTTCTAGTTGCAGGGGAAAACCAGCCACCTCATCATCACTGCTGCCAGGCCCTTCTTGCTGCAGCTGTCTGGAGCCGGTGCCCAGGCTGCTCTCTGGTTCCTCTCTGCCTCTGGGCCACCCAGCAGGGCAGTGGTGGCAGTGGAGAGGAGCTGCAGGGCAGCCTGGGCATGGGCTCTGGGTGGCTGCAGCAAGAAGGGCCTGGCAGCAGTGAGGGGGAGATGGCTGCTTTTACCCCACAACCAGCAGAAGCTTCTGCCTGGCTTTTGATGCTTCTCAGCAGGGGTGGGAAGTCTGGGGCAGGCCAGGTGTGGGGCTGTGTATGTGGGCGCTGACTGATCCGAGGGACCTGCCGCAGGCTAGACAAAGTCCCTCTGCAGGCCAGTTCTGGCCTGCAGGCTGTATTTTCCCCACCCCTGATATAGCATATCTTTAGCGGTCTCTGCTCCAGTCCTTTCCTTGACTTAATTTTTGAGGGACAGGAGTTAGAAAATTTCAGATTCTGTCTAAAAACAGCACTGCTTTTAACTTTCACTAGAATATATCTGATTGAGGTTTACTGTTCCTAAACTGTTAGAAGGTTGACTCTGGTTCTGAAAAGTTATTCTCTGTAAAAATTGGGCTATAGTAGGGGAGAGCAAAATACAACCCATGAGCTGGATCCAGCCCACCAGGCCATTCTATCCAGCCTGTGGCCCCCCTAAAAATTTTAGAAAATTAATTTTTATCTGCCCCTGGCTGCCTGTCAAAGATGCGGCAGCAGTGGGACCCAGGGGGAGGCATCTGCCTGGGAGGACCCAGGGGGAGCCCCCAGCCAGAAGCCTCTGCAGCTTCTGGCCTCACAACCCTGGGACTGTTCCTTATCTCCCTCCATCTGTGTGGAAAGTAAGATAACATGAGATGGAGGGATGGGGGGAAACCACTGCGATCAGTCCAGCAGCCAGGAACTGCACGGTGCTGGCCAGGATGGGCTGGAGCCAGAGCTGGAAGTGGCAGGCAGGGGGCCATGAGAAGCAGTGGATGGAAAGGAGGAGGGAAGTAGGAATGGTGGGGGGTGCTGCAGGAAGCAGCAGGAGCATGGGGAGTAATGGGGGGGAACAGTAGTAGGGCTGCGGGAAGAGGCTGCAGCACAGAGAGAATCGGGGGAGCAGCCAGGGGCCGTGGGAAGCAGTGGCAGTGCAGGGCAGTGGTGAGGAGCAGTGAGGGCTACAGAAAGCAGTGACAGTCAGGGGAGCAGTGGGGGGGGGGGCTGGGGAAAGGGTCAGTGGCACAGGGGGGGGGGGGGGGCTGTGGAAAGTGTCAGTGGCACAGGGAGTGGTGGGGGGAGTAGCGAGGGCCACAGGAAGTGGCAGTGGGAGGGAGTGGTGGTGTTAGGCAGGAGCGTGGAGCCTATGCTGGTGCCCTGGGACCAGCAGGGACCCAGGATGTGGCGGCAGGAGCATGGAGCCTGGGCATGGGGTCTGCATCGTGTGAGGCTCACACGCAGTCTGCAAGAGCCACATGCGATTGGGGCCAGTGGCCCAGCCCCATCTCTCTCTCCCACCCCAACTACATACCCACACTCCTCCCACAGCCCACACCCCTCCACACCCACCCACCATACCCACACCCCATCACACACTCACACTCACTCCCCACATACTCCCCTTTACTGTCCACACACAAATACAGTAGGACTGTATTTTGAGCTATTATGCAATCATCTCTAGGTACACTTTGCAAACACATAAATCAGTACAAAAATATTTTTAAATAAAATTAAAATAAGATATAATATATATATATATATTTGTATGTGATTTGGAGTTTTTTATTGTGGCACCCTCCTTCCCAAAAGGTGTGCAAGGGGAGGGACTTCCAGTGGCAAAGGTCAGGGGTTGGGGGGGCAGGACGCCCGGTCCCAGTATGGCGACTGGGGGCAGAGCAACTGTTAAGGAGTGGGGCTACCCATGTGGCCCTCGACAGCTCACCAAAACTTGCTAAGGGGCTCTTCAGCCGAAATAATTGCCTATCCCTGGGCTATAGGTTACCCTTGTTGAGGATCAGACAAGCTAAGTGAAAGATGGCTATTTTTGTTAGCCATACAATCTGAACGTGGCATCTGAAAGGCAAGCTGGGTGCTCTATTTTTTGTTTGTTGACCTTTGTTAGTATTAAACTTTTGTAGACCAGATTCTTTTTCTGTTACCAATTTCTAGTTTGCTAGATAAATAATACTACAGTGAAGGTTTAAAATACTTATTAATAACAAGTCGAATGTGACAAATACCACAGCAAGGTGTTTATAACTATGCATTCAATTACCTGTTAAAAAAGATAATCTTAAAAAGATAAGACATATTGACATTCTTCTTTGTTTGTTCCCATGCAAATGTTAAAATCACAAGATCAAATGCTGTGGAAAGTGAATTTTAAATTTTTACTATCACCACTATTTGCACTACAAGCCTGGTTTTAAGTCATATTTGTCCAGTCAGTGAATAGGAGTCTGTATTATGTGACCAGCCACAGCCTGAATTCTTCAATGGTGAGGCAAAAAAATGTGATGGCTTCAAAAAGAGTGCTCTTTGTGTGACCATTCTACAAACATAAGGAAGTAAACTTCATTTAGCTGCTACATGTCAGTGAGACGTATGTTCCTTATTCTAGTCATCGTGATTCTTTTTTAAATCAGTTGTGTGCACCCTCTATAATTTGAAAAATGGAATAAATGTAACTTTTAAACATAAAATTATAAAGGTGGATGTTGTTTCTGTATGAGATTGTGAACATTATGGTTCTTATCTCTCATTTTAGCATGGATATAGTTTTCTGGTAGTTTTCATTGGAGTAACTGTATATTCTAATCTAAACTGTGAGGGAGAAACTGAAATCTGGTCTATGCAAAGCTTTTGTTTACAATTAACTGTATTGATTTAGAAACTGAGACGATGTATGAATAAAGGTATTTATATCTACATATCTTATTTCTCTAAACTATAACAGATGTCAAGCCAAAATACTCAAATTTGGTACAAAACTGTGTGTGGTTGAGCCTTTTATTTCAGTACAATGAAAACATTGAATGTGTGGAATGTAACTGATTGTGGTGAGGCTCTATAATTGTGGGATCCCAAATGAAGCAGTCATTAATCCTTCAGAAAAACTCTGTGTAAACTCTCAAATTTTAGATTCTATACCCTGCTTCCCTTATTTTTGGGCAAAGCTTGAGCTTGGAAAAAAAAAAGAACATGGCACAAAATGTAAGTATATGAAATGTTTTTGCATAGTGGTAGGGGTTGATAAAACTTCCAGAGTTTAAACTTTAGAGCATACTAATAGACAAAAATGCAGTAGGGTTAATTTTTTTTCTGTAAAATCCCCAGATCTGCCAGTAGTGTTTCAACTTGCTTAACTTTTTAGTCTTTAATAGAAATGTCCTGACATTTCTATTCCTATTATGTAGTGGTCCCTGTAAATATCAGCAGTCCTTAAAGCTACATTCTGCAGCTTTTACATTGAGTTGTACTTACCTGCAGAAGTAATGCCGTTGAAGCCATTGGGACTCCTCATGTGAATAAGCTTCATCTTTTTGGGTACACTCCCGAGTAACAAAGCAAGTGGCTTTTGCTGTTAATGGTTACTACGCATATTCCCCTCTTTTTCTCTCCAGAATTGGAAGGCTTTTTGATGGCACGGAGCCTATTGTTTTGGACAGTCTCAAGCAGCATTATTTCATCGACAGAGATGGGCAAATGTTCAGATATATCTTGAATTTCCTACGAACATCAAAACTCCTCATCCCTGATGATTTCAAGGTGAGAATTCAAGTGACTCAAGGGCATTTGGAGATACTCTACTGAAGAGAGAACATGGCTGTGTGATCAAAATAGTCCATTGGGAGGTTGCTTTTTGAGTATTTACAACAGTTCCTTTTTGTTGATTGGCTGAACTAAACTTTGTCATTCTTGGCCTTTTTTAAAGTGGTGTTAACATTATATGTCCCTTTCTAAACTTACAGCATAACGATGCAACATCTGTTATATCAGACAGGGATGTTGAGGTGGTACTGGGGGGATATTCAGTTTTTAACCTAGGCTCTCTGCCTCTTACTAATTTTCATGAATATACTGGAGAGGTTCCCCACACTTAATTATTATGTTTCCCCTTTTGATTAAAAAAAGCCCCTACCTCTGATCATAGGCGAATACCTGGAGACTGAGAAAGGAATCTTGACAGGCAAAGTTAAATTAAATATTAAAATGTGTGCTGTGATTGGAGAGGAGAGTTCTGCCTTTCCTCATCCCCTGAACTAGGCTGGTGGCTTATTCTTTGAGTTCTGGCTGAGAAATCGAGGGCAAATTATTACACATTCATTAATCAGGCCAAGTTGAGACTCTTTTTGCCAGTTCTCTGTTTAAACTAGAGAACTCTTTGAATGAAAATTACAATTCTTCATTCCAGTTAACAAGTCTGTAGATACAGTGCTTTAAAATTCTTGAAACTTTCCATTTTTATTCCAGTGTGTGAGGGTGAAGTGGAGGCCACAGATATGCTCCAAACAGTTCTTTGTCAACCTCCGTCCGTCCCTGTGAACGCATAGCCCATTGTGTGATTAGTTTCCAATAAGAGACATGGCAGTAAAATGGGATGGAAATGTATAGATGAGGTTTAATTATTGCATAACCTTTTATTTCTCTTCAAGAGCCAGATTTTTAGAGTTCACTACATAATGTCCTGAAATCCATTGAAAATCTGGCCCTAATTATCTCTATAGTAGGAAAATCAATTTGCCTGACTGGTGAAATGGGCTTGGGTTTAGTTTAGGAGCTGGCTACAGCAATCTCCTGAATAACCTCTGGTGTCAGCACGCTTATTCTTCCCATGCACTTAGGATAGATCTACCTAAGTGACATCAGTGTCTAAAAATAGCTTGCATCTGCTTCTTCTTTGAAGCTCTGAATAGGCCCTGTTGTCCTTATTGCTTCTCCTGGAGGTCAGTATAAATTACTGGAAAAGCAGAAAGCTGCACTGTTTATACTGTTAATGGATCATACTTGCAAGAGCAGTTCAAAGGTATTATAACTGCTGAAATTAAAAGTATAACTCTTGACAGTACATCTACTGCAGTGTTCAGAGGGTCCTTTCCAGTTACATTTGGAGATGTCTACAAAAAACAGTGTTAAAAACAAACAGGTGCTCCTCTTTCTTGTAGAAGCTTATGTTAGTTGACTAACCTCATAAATATGACTGGACGACTATCCAGTTATTGCGTGCCTAGAACGCATGTGACATTATAAAACTGTAGCCCAATTTGAATGCAATATTGATATTGTTATTGCAGTTCCTTTGTTGTTGCTACATTCCTCTATCTTCCCAGCTTCTCACTGATTATTTTTCTTAATACAAATACTTTCTTCCAAATCCATGCTTTTACCCAATAAAGAATAAGGGGATAAAAAATGAATTTAAAACGTGTTAGCAGGCAAATTCCAAACGATCACTTCTAAATAATTTCTATACTGGCTGCACTTTGAATTGCATTTTCTTTATTGTTTGAGGCAACATAGCAGAAACAATACTGTTGCCTAAATGAGAGGTATTAAAAAATACTTAATTTTTTAAATGAAGTAATATATGCAAATCATTATGCAAATATCTCAATTGCTTTACTCTTAAAGCCATTGCAGACTTTCTCATTTACATGTTTGTACCTGTTACTATGCCTGCTAGTATTGCTTTAAGGCACAATAGATCCTAATGATGGATTTTCTGAATCCTGGTTCAATTTCTGTTCCATCTGTTCAATGAGGTCATTATTTTATGACATCACTATGTGGGGGAGGATTTCGAGAAAGGTGGAATGTGACTATTTGTAGTGTCCCATAATATTCATTGGATATAATACAATTCATATATATTCCATATATTCATATATCCATATTCATAAACATATCAAGATCATAGCACAACAATATCATAATCATATATCACAAATACATATTAATATATATCCCAAAATATAACATTGGATTTATGACAAATTACAACCTGCCTGACGTCTGATTCACCAGGTACCTGCCAGACCTGACCTCTTACACTTGTCTTGCACCCCTTCCTCCCCTGTCCCCCCCTCCTTTTCTGTCCTTTGTCTTCCTAATTTTCAGTTATTTACTTTTTCATAGGCAGCCTCTTTTCTACCTTGAAAATCTACTACTGTAGAGTCTTCTTTACTCACATTTCACTTTTTCCCCCCTCGTTTTCCCCCCTCATTTCCCTGCTCTACCTTTTGTTTTCCTAATTTCTACCTATTTACTTTCTCACTGACATCCTGTCACACTTTTAGCTTCTTTCATTTCTTGGAGTCTCAGAACAGCAGAGACTTGCTATGCTTGAAGAAGGGTGAGTGCACCCGAAAGCTTGCCAAGAACTTTTTTCCAACTACTCATTTGATCTAATAAAAGATATCACATCTACCCAAAGAGCCTTGCCTGCCATGATACACACTCTTTTAAAACAAGGAAAGTCCCCTTTTTGCTCTAAATAATGATTCAGTCAGTATTTTTAAGAGGCTGATTTTGGTTTATGTTAAGTAACACTAATGTACACAGTTATGGAACTGGGTATAAAGGCTTCACAATAGAACTAGTTTAGCTTCTGTTAGAAAAAATATATAAATAAGAAGTTACTTGCATGTTCATTGTGCATCTGATTTCATGTGCACAGTAAAATGTATATCTTTCAGGACTACAGTTTGTTATACGAAGAGGCAAAGTATTTTCAGCTTCAGCCCATGCTGGGTGAAATGGAAAGGTGGAAACAGGATCGGGAGACTGGCCGTTTTTCAAGGTCTTGTGAGTGCTTGGTGGTACGTGTAGCTCCGGATCTTGGAGAGAGGATTACACTGAGTGGGGATAAATCCTTGATAGAAGAAGTTTTTCCAGAAATTGGTGATGTCATGTGTAATTCTGTCAATGCCGGCTGGAATCACGACTCCACACATGTCATCAGATTTCCACTAAATGGATACTGTCACCTCAACTCTGTTCAGGTATGAAGTCATGGTTGTATTATTTCAAAGATAAACTGAGCACTGTGTGCCATGGACTGGCCTGACACTCTTTACTGTAACACTAGCAGGATTCACTATGCAAGACCAGCAGGAGACTGGGAGCCTGTAGGGAGAATTGTAATTCCGCTTGTTTTCCTTGCAAAGGAACCAGTGTTGCTAAAGCAAGCTTTTTGAATAACTACAGAAACTTCCCAGTGTTAACCAAGAATCCTTTGCATTTGCTCAGGAACAGCCTTGTGCTTATTCAAAACATTATTTTGTTGCTGTACATTATTTGTGTGGGATTTAGTCCCTTCTGCTGCTCTCTGAAACAATGTAAATGAGGATGTATCTGCTTCTGAGAGACTTGGGCATCTTTCTTTTTAGGGTTCTAGAGAATTACTGATTTCCTGCCCCCGCCCCCCTTTTATCACTAGATAACTTTTCCATTTTATTATACATAATGAGAGACAGTAATATCTGAAGTTGGAGGTCTCTATGTAAAAAGCTAAGAAA